ATTTAAACAAAGATTTAAAACTGAAGAATATTGGGGTTAGTTAGCCGCGCTAGGCCCAGAATGTAACAAGGTCCCAATATGGGAGGCAACCCGCCTATTTTAGTTGAAGGGTCGGGGAAAAGCGATGCAACCCTAGAGAACCTAGGGCAACCTGTTTCCCCTCACGGGAGAAAAATATTAGTTCATAGAACAAAGGCCCACGCACACAAACAAAGAGTACTCAAAGTTGGACAATAACGGTTAAGCACCGAGTAATTTCGCAATACATCAATAACTTTGGACTGATCATAAAACAATGCTTAACCACGTTATAGAAAAGGGTACAAAATGATGGGTTAAGCACAAACAAAATACAAGGTTACATTTGAGCGGTACAAGCATTGAGCATAGCAAATTATTAAAATTATAGTGATAATAATAAAAGCGAGAATAGGGGTGGTAATAGCTAAAAGAAAAGGGTTAAAAATAACGTAAAATACAGCTAAACGTAATAGTAAAGGATAAATATACTCATAATAGGAATAAGTATATAATAATAATATTAACAATTTAAAAATGCACAATATTACGTTTAGTTAATTTTACTACACATTTAAATAGATTAAATATTTAGAACTTGTAGAATACACTAACAACACTTTTAATTGTTCAATGATTTTAGAACAATAATTTACTTTTACAATTTTACCAAAGAAAACGAACTGTACTGCACCAAATTCAAAACGCTTCTGCCTCAGTTCCCCTTTTCCAAAACCTTCTTCGATTACCTCTCGTGGAAATTCCTCGCTCAATGTGTACGCCAGATGTACCCTTTTTCAAGCTTAGAACATACCTCTCTTGTTTGCTTGCAAATTTTCTACCTAAATTTGAAATTTTACTTGCCTTGAAAATAAAGTTTTATTACTTAATCCTATTTTAAAAGTACAAAAATAAAATATATAATAACACGTATTCTAATAAATTTATAGAGGGTGTTTCTTTTTCGGAACCATTACAGTACATAGGTAATACTTACATACCTACCCCTATCTTACTACTAGGTAGGTATAACTTATGCAAAAAAACTTCGAAATTTTAAAAAACACAAGCAAACTGAAAAAATCAAGAATATCCCTCATAATGCGTTTTAAATGTTTTTCATTTTTAATTATTCAGCGACATGATAATACCGTACTAAAGATGTAAATTACAGTAAAAAAAATTTAAAACTCGTATTTTATTGAGATATCCGGGAATTGTTTTCGAATCTTGATTCTTGGTGATTTTGGTTTTATCTGAAATTTAAATTTGATAACTGAATCACAATCAGGAGGTCAAAATTATAAAGAAAACATGTCACGAACGTAAATATCGGTTTAGGTTTAGTTTTCTCAAATTTTCACCAAAATGTTATTTTGAAAAAGTGGTCTTCTTAGGCCCTCTGAAAATAATGAAAGTTTGTTGCTTGTCGCTTGTTCAGAATTATTTAAGGAACATTCTTTTACCATCTTATCTTCTTGTGCCAAAACAGACAGAGTTTATTGCCTACAAAAAAGCCTTAAATGTACATATTTTCGTTGCTTGCGTTTAACATATCACCCTGTAGGAAATTTACTTGAAGAACCGTGAGCTTCATATCTATAGCATGAATTGCCAGAGGATGAGGCTAGCAGACAACACAGACCAAAATAAAATAGTTCAAGAAACAAAATAGTCATGTCGTTTTGAAAAAGAACGAACTTTTTGGTCGCGACACATTAAGTGGTGCGCAGTTTAGTTAATATGCTACAACTTAGCTTTGTTGATTTTTTTTTCAAAATTAGCAGGGAATGTTTGTATAAATTTTAAAAATGTTTGGCTTGTGAATGTTTTTTATGTTTTTATGTCACTGACTGCTATTTTTTATCAGTAATTTTGTTTACAAAATACTTAATTAGTCAACAAATTGTTTATAACAACTTGAAAAATTGACGCCAATAAATTAAAATAATAAAAGATTATTATTAATTATTATTAATATTAAGTATAGGGCAGGTTTTTTAATTTACTATTTGGTTTGGTAAAAACTTACAGGGTGTAACATTTAAAATAAAAAAGTTATTAAAGTTTAAAGTTAGCCTAATTTATTTTAGGTAATTTGTTGAAAAATGTTAAAGAATTGACATGAAATCTTTTAAACAATGTTTTAAGATTCAAAAATTTCACTCCCATATCCGCAAACCCAATAACAAAAAAGTTATAGGTACTCTATTTTTGATTGACGCGCATTTGTCAAATTTTAACAAAAATAATTAATAACTAGCAAACTATTTACTTTAGGTACAGGACATAATTAGTAATTTTACCCATAGATTTATGTACAATTTAAAACTTTTAAAATATATGGGGCGTTCTAATGGAAATAACAAAGTTGATGCCACTGGAAGTGGTATTTTGTTCGAAATATTTTAGGAAAATAAACTTAAATGGATTATAACGCTTTTAAATTTCAAAGCGATATCTTTTTCCGTTTCCCAAAAACTTCTAATGGACCACGAATGTAAAACACCCTGTATACGAGTATTTTAATTGATAAGAACAATAATTATTATTATAAGAATTATTATATTCTGTAAGATTTTATACAACAAAATGATTTTGTGATTTTTTATTATTTATTATACCTATTAATATTTAATACCATCAACAAATAGATTTGACAATAATTTCCGGTGACTCGACGGGGCTCATCGCTAGAGCCCCATCGAGTCGCCTTACAGTGCCGCACCAGTGGCGGCTCGTGACCATTCATGAAGGTGAAGTCTCGCGTTTTTGGAGCACTTCAGAATCTAAATAATAAAAATATATTATTTAAATAGGTTCTTTCACGAGAAGAATTTTCAAAATTTAGCTAGAATAATAAAAAGTGCGGGACGAGTTGGGATTTTTATTTATTCCTTCAGCAGGTTTCCACATTACCCAGGAGGTACTGCTCATTTTTACCTATCTTACAATAATTATTTTTAAATTAACAACCGCACAACAACAAAATAATAATGTACAAGCACAGTAGGTATATGAAACTCAACGATTTAACACTGAACTATAAAAAAACATTTTTTATATTTTTTGTGATTTTTACTGTGGTATTTGTGTGTTAATATAATAAAATATTAAAATTTAAATGATGTTTTATAATTATTTGAATTATTTTTACATTACAACACAATAATGTATTTTACGCTTGCATTTTTATCACCACTTTCCATTTTAACGCAAGGCAAAGACTAAACAGAAATAAGAAACTATAAACACGCATAGATCTAATTAATAAGCTTTGTTTACTATAACATTCCCCGCCCAGTCTTTTACAACGGCTGATAAGCGAGCCGCACAGATCTCGGGACTGACTCTGCTGTCTTCCATATACAGTGGTACAAGCCCAACTTTGTGGGCCTCAATGTCTACAAAAATTCGCGTACTATCCCCGCCTCGCGGGGGTGCCGGCGGTACCGTGCAGCGGTGGGGAGCATCATGTTGTATCGGCAATGTGTGACGTATATGAAGCGCAAATTTATGGGATTACTATTTCCCTATTATGCGGTCGGGCAATGATTTAAGCGTTTAGAATTAAAGTTGGAAGGGGTGCGCGCTAAATTTAAAGGAAATATTTTAAACTTTAATGGCTATTCTATGTTTTGATACTTTTAATGACTGGAAATTAGTTTTAAAACGTTTTATATTTAAATAAGTAATGTATCGAAAATTTCAAATTATATTATAATTTTAACATGTGAGGCCCGGCCTCAGTTGCTTTATACGACGAGCCGCCACTGGTCCGCACTAAAAGAAACCCTGTTTTCTCCGGTTTTACTTTTGTCCATAGGTTTTGACAGTTTAAGTTTAGTATCCATGTAATTCTTCGGCAAAGTCGATTATTAATACTAAAAATTAGATTTTGCAGGTAAATAAACTTCCTGGTACTAGTTCTAAAAAAGTATAAAAAACTAAGAGGCGTCAAACTGTAAGTTTTCTAAATTAATGAAAATAATGTATCAAACATATCAAAAATGTTTTTTTCAACCTCTACTAATTAAAACTGTATGTTATCGGAAACTATAACGTTTCTAATGATGTATAAGAAAGTGCATTCATGAACACCTTGAGCGAAGTAGGTAATCGAGGTTATATAAAATAGTAATATTTATAATGTGCTACGACTGATGATATTACCCCCTCCAAAGGTAGCGGATTGTTATTTTCTTATTTGCAAACTTTGAACCGCTCTCTGACGTACAACCCACCGCCCCCAAAGTGACTGACTTTTTTGTTTTTTTTTACAAACTTTCACACTCTCCCTGTATTCTTTATAACATAGATAAGAACTAGTATAGTTAAAATTTTTAAGAAATAGCTTTTTCATTTGCAACGCTATCTTCTGTACTATTAATATAAACTATTAATTAGGCTCATTAAAAATAAAACTATATACTCTCTAAAAATGAATTAGTCAAAAATGACTAATTTAATAGTTATTAGTGGCTGCTTTTTCACTTGTACCATGGTTAACCATGGAATACCATAGTATACTAAAATTGAACAGCCAATTCTTATGTAAAATTATCCCCTAAATCCGAAAATGTCGTCAAAAGTTAAAATAGTAGAACAGTTTTTGAGATATAGTAAATTTTCCATTTAATATGGAATTGACTATATCTCAAAAACTGCTCCACTTTCATAATTTTCGGATTCAGGGGATAATTTTACATAAGAATTGGCTGTTAAATTTTTGGATACCATGGTATTCCATGGTTAACCAAGGTACTAATGACTATTAAATTAGGCATTTTTGACTAATTCATTTTTAGAGAGTAATTTTACATACTAATTTAAAGACAAACCTTTATTTTTTAAACTATTGACTGGACCAACATTTTTTGTAATACGAGTTTTTTATGGCAATGATAAAATTAAGGTCATTTAATAATGTTTTAAACGATTAGACTACTTTTTATTTAAATTTAAATGTATTTCTTTTTCAGTTGCTGTAGTTGCAGCATTTTTTATTTGCTGGGCTCCATTCCATACTCAACGACTATTGGCTGTCTACATGTCAAATGCTTCCCATGAAGTTCAGAAACAAGAAATTCTTATAAAGATTTATACTTTTTTGATGTACGCATCTGGACTACTGTATTTTTTGTCAACCACCATAAACCCCTTGCTGTACCACATTTTATCAAACAAATTCCGAAAAGCATACAGGGTAAGCTAAGTTTATAATTTATAGGGCATATAATATATTTTGAACTCAATGGTGACAGTTTTATATCCAATAGGTGTTAATATTCATGGAATTTAAATCCATGCACTAGTCCTTCCTATATAGCATTCAGTAGTGTATTTAATTTTAAATAGAGCTTATTAAACGGGCAAATTTAATTAAAATTAAATTATGGTTGCATTATTGATTTTAACTTAGGTACAGTCACGTGCATTGGATCAGTACCACCCTAAGGTTTATATTCGCTTGCAGCCATTGCGGGCTGGTGGGGTCAATATTATTGTCTACGTAAAAAAAAATATTTGGATATTTCTTACCTGAACAGGTATAAGATTTAATGTTTCATATTTATTTTGATGAGTTTTGACGTTATTTATATTATTATATTTCGAATAAGTTTAATGACACTTTAAACACTTGTTTAATAAAAAATTAGTAGTGTTTTATGCAAAAAAGCCTTACTTTTAAAAAGTCTAAATTATGTATTATATCTATTTGTATTGATAAAAATTTAAAAAAAATCCTACATTAAAAAAACAATAAAAAAATAATAACTTCATTTAAAAAATATTTATTAATTAAATTACTTTTAAAAATATAACGGTTGTTCCTTTAAGTCGCCCCAGGCATTAACATTGTATTTGATAGTAGAAAAACATTGGGGCGACTTGAAATATAGAAAATCATATTTTATATATATATATAGGTCCCGCTACAAAAATCGTTTTTTTTTAAGGAAAACAGTTTTTTTTAGGTCCCGCTACAAAAATCGTTTTTTTTTTTAAGGAAAACAGTTTTTTTTAGGAAAAACAGTTTCCTGTTCGGTTTGACCAGCAACTAATTTTGGGTGCTTCTCTTTATTTTTTCTATATAAAGTTATAAACGCAATTTTATATTCTTTACTCGAGTCTCTTAAGTTTTGACCCTGGCTTTTTTTTATATTTTAAGTCGCCCTGAAATAAAAAAATAAAATAAAATAATACGCCACTAATAAATTTTAAATGAATATAAAATTTTGGGGTTAGAATATGAATGCCTACTAAATTACTGTTCAGGAAAAAATATGTCATTATTAAAGCCTTTTTAGGGATCTCTGTATAAAAGAAAGTGTGTTAAAAAAATTAAATTTTCTTTTTTATGGAGGTGCACAATAAAATCAACAGATGTAAACAATATAAATTAATCTAACTAACATGCTTGATGTTATATTTTATAGCTATATTTTGATTTTCGATTTTTAACCCCTAGATAGCAGCCTGTATTTTATTTTAGTCAAATTATCTTTCTTACCGAAATATTTAATTGTTTTGATATTTGCGATATATTTTGCCCTTTCTTATGCAAAAAAGTAATTCGCATACTTGTTTCATCTAAAATATGCCGCTGTATCGTAAAGAGTTTTCAAGTCGTGTAAACATAGAATAAACAAATAATACATGAACACATGGACTAAATATATATAGAAAACCCCGAAGGGTGTATCGCAGTGGCCTAATGTGACCTTGGTTAAGACACAGAAGAAATTGAGGAGTGAAGATTCTAGAGTAGGCGGAGTTGCCACCTTGAAAATTCTATTCGATTCTATTCTTGAGTTTTAGGGTAATTTTCGGTATAAAGTTTTCAGTTGACTACAGCGTAGGTCGTGGTGTACTGGACAGATTTTAATGTTTACTGCTTGTTGATTGTTCAAAAGTACACGTTTCACCGATACAACTAAACCTACCATTACGTTATTTTATTGCAAGTTTGATCTGTTTTTCGCCGTGGTCTAATTGAGACTGAATCACATATCGATGACTTTCTGCCAAAGTATCGTAAGCAACATAACTAAAATTTCGGGAATCGAAAACTTTTTTGTCTTAAAGACTGTTTTAAATTAAATATTGCCTAAAGGTTTTATAACAAGTAAATAGCTTATAATTATAGCTATTTACTTACTATAACCTATAGGTTATATATGGGTTAAAACAGATTTTAAAATAAAAAATGTTTTCAATTCCCGAAATTTGAGTTATGTTGCTTACGATACTTTGGCAGAAAGTCATCGATATAAAGAAGTTTTTTTTGAACTAAAACTAAAAAGTCAATTTGACAGCAGTGCATACCGTGCATACCGTATTGGTTGTTTTGTATTCGCGGTAAGGTTAGAGAGAACGATAAAACCGGGTGGGATGTTCTGTCATCTAGTCGACAAGTTATTAGCTGAGCTCATTAGTAAAATATAAGACTAAAATAAAATAATAAAGATCATAACCTTGCTACGATAAAAAAAATTCAAATCACAAGTGTTTCTCAAATTTCGGGGGATTCAAACTCCCAAACCTCCGGCCAACGCCCCTGTATGCAAGTTTGAGGTTCAGTTAAGAGTTTTTGTAGCAGGCAATCACTATAGTGATTAACCTCTGTATGCAATTTTAAGGTTTGTTTGATATATCAAACAAACCTTAAAATTGCATACAGAGGTTATATTCCATGGCGTTCAAGAAGTCCTTCTAACTTATATCTTTGGGGATACTTTAAAAGTCGAGTTTACAACAAAAAATCAGTCCAATCTAATAAAAATATTTAAAAATGGTTGCTATTCCACGCAAAATTTGTGTGTTTTAATTTTAGGTCCTGTTTTGAAGAGTTTGTTTTTACAACACAAAAAAACACCTTCTTTAATTTAAAACCCGATTGGTCCAAATTACCGTGTACAGAAAATAACACAGTTACCATTAATGCGCAAAACAGTAATCCACTTATATCCATTTCAAAATAATAATAATAATATTAATAATGTGCAGTATATTTATCACTAAAGTCCCTGACACTACTCATTAAAGGCACAAAACTAACTATTGCTGTTGTTAAAGTAACCCGTCATGTTTTACTAGAAATTGTTTGATTTTAAATGATCCTACACTGACACTAACATTGACATTCTATATACGTTGATTAGTGTTCCGCGCATTAATGGTTACTGTTTTATTTTCTTCGTGTATATTTAAATCGGCCAATAACTGATGCCTACACAGTAAAAAAATTTGCCCGTGTAATTTTTTTAGTGTAGGGGTAAAAATATTAGAGTTGATTTGTAAGTGTAAAAGTTACACTACAACATACACTAGGTAGCATTTAGTGCTTATTAACTTTATTAAACACATTTAAAGAATATGAACATTATTCATTGGTACATTCACACTATTTATTATTAAAATAAATCAAAAGGGTAGAAAAACTTAATGCGTGTTTATTACCCCTTAATGTGTTAAATAGTGACAAAATGTACACTACAGTGCATGCCAATTTCTTTGTTTGTTTTGATGTTACTAAGAGCTCTTTTTTCTTTACACTACTAGTGCACATTGTATCACAATTAAAGTTAAATTATATCAATAGTGGTAAAATAGACTGAAAAAACTGGTTATAACCGAAATGAGTTTTTAAATGTTTTATTGGTACCTATCTACCACGCAGTGCATATCCGGAGATACCGCGTTGTGGAAGTGTGGCATTTTTGTAGACTTTAATTACGGTGAATCCATAAGGGGACATTCTTATTTTTTTGGTAAGAATTATACTTCCTTTTTCTTTAAGCCTTAATACTCAATAAATACCAATATGTTAAAATGATGTCCATACCCGACCTATATTATATATCAATAATTTACGGCAGTAGGTCGGGTACTTGTAAAATTAATAATATAAATACATACACACCTAATTTAATTTTTATTTTCAAGCGTAATGGTTGTTATATTAACCTATACCTACATTTTATTAATATTATGGAAAATTTGTACACGTTTGGTAAATACCCGACATACGCTTCTCTACCAATGGGATCACCCATTTTTTATAGCAGAAAAATGGATTACTGATGAATTCTCAAGATAATTCATTGCTTACAAGTTGACAGCCAGTAAAACATTGTATTGATCTAAAACTTTTACGTTTTAAGGAACCATTTTGCTTAAGCCAACCAAATATAAAATTATATTTTAAAAGGCACCGATTTTGATAATTGTCATAGATTTTTGTTCCAAATAAATGTTTCTCTTTATTTACCTTTTCGTTTTATTCACTACCACTACTCAAATAATAGTGTTAATTTACACTAGAAGTTTACACTTAAAGAATAAAAGTACCTTTCTAAAATTAGAACTTTTCCAAAGTAGTGTTAATTTACATTGAACAAAAGTGGGATTTTACCCAGGAAGTGTCGAAGTACACGATTTTAGGTAAATTAACTCTTTTTAATACAGTGTAAAATTACTTTATCCTCAGTGCTATAGTGTTAAATCATAATTGCTTACTTGGGGAAAATAACACTACAAATTAACTCTAATTGTAGTGTTATAAAACAACACTATTTAGTGTGGACCTGTGTGAACTCTAATTAGTGTTGCTTAGAGTTGATTTTTTTTTCTGTGTATAATATACCATAACTCGTTATTCCCATTTTTAAACGGGGTGGTTATTATAGTTATCATTATATACCGATAAAAAAACAGAATTATGCAATAGGAGTCTGTTATTAACTTACTAAACACTTTGTAATAATAAATTAATTATTTTAATTCTTCGACCTTTTAAACAATAATTAATTAAAATTCAGGTAGTGATAACTTTATCTTTTTCCTGAATACCTTTACTTAAATTAAAAGTCAAAAAATATTGATTTTACACATTATCTGCATTTATTTACATAAATTTTGATAATAATTGAGGCGCTTCTTACAAAACAGCCAGTCCCATAAAATACTAAAAATTATAATTAAAAAAATACCTGGGTCAGAATTTCTCAAACGGGCCACCTAAATTAGGTCAAAATTAGTTTTTGATTGTAGATACATTTTTTTGATAGTATTTTACATTACCAACACAAATCCAAAAGGATTTTGTAAAAAAAAATTTTCAATTGACATATTCATGATATTAAAAGTAAAAGTTTTTAGTAATTAAAAAATAAAAAAAATCATTATGGTTGAACTAATTAT